CATTGTCAGGAAGTCTAGCATGCATCAGCAGGAATATGTACATGTAATGACTTGTTTACAGTATGATACTTATACAGTCACATAATGTAATATTGTATCATCAAAATTTTAATACAGGATAAACCCCACAAATTTATAATAAATTATTAAATTTAAGATATGTCACTTAAAAAATTATGTTTTTTGAAATGATGCAAATTTAAAAAAAAAAACTATTAAAGGGTTAAAGAAAGTAGATTTCCAGGTGGGCACTGAGTGACTTTTTTTTTTTAAAGGGGGCAGTAGACCAAATAAGTTTGGGAACCTCTGCTTTAACGTCTATAAAAATGCTAGCTGCTGTTATGATTATTTAGAGGTTCTTTCTAGATTCTAAATTTATGATCTACGATTCTTCTCATGCTGCTGTTGACCATCCTAGATGATTCTGAGTTGGCTTTCTGTTGGGGGAGGTGTGGGGTCAGGGGAGGCCTCTTAGCAGGAATGAGGCCTGTGAAAGGGTTTGGTTTTTGATCACAAAAACAACAATGGAGTTTACAATCCAGCTTTAAAATTTTAAAGTCATCTTCATACATTATCATTCAGCCCTGTGAGGTAGTTAAGTAAGGGAAAAAGATTTTCCTTCTTCTTTTACAGATGAGAAAACTCAGAGGAGAAGAAAGTGGCCCAGGGTTATGGAGCTGGTACATGGTAGGGCAAGAACCTGAACTCAAGTCTTCTAACTCCAAGTTTAGTGGTCTGACAGGCCGGGGCCTCCCATTTCCAGAAAGAGGGGTGTCTGGTTGTAGGCCTAGACCAGCTTGCAGAAGGAATGACAGATTGCTAAGTGGATCTTTGTAGTTTTTAGTGCCCAGGAGCCTTGCGTGTGTGGAGGAGGGGGATAAATGTTCATTGAATGAATGATGGAGGGAGTGAATGAATGAATCAATGCATTCTACAACATTTTTAAAAAATAGTTTTGGTTTTTTAAGATCCTGCTGACACTGATTATTTCCTCCTCGCCCGAAATTTCAGTGAAATTTTCAGTGAATTTCAGTGAATGTACATAAATCCAGCAAATAGACTTCCCGTAGGAATAGAAAACAGAGAGAAATTAGAAATCCAATTTCATTATTAGCCTTTTTCTATAAAAAGGTATGGGGCATCTGGGTGGCACAGTGGATAGAACTCAGGGCCTGGAGTCAAGAAGACTCATCTTCCTGAGTTTGAATCTGGCCTCAGACACTTACCATATGTGTGACCCTGGGCAAGTCACTTTAACCTATTTATCTCAGTTTCCTTATCTGTAAAATGAGCCAGAGAAGGAAATGGCAAACCACTCCAGTTTCTCTGCCAAGAAAACCCCAAATGGGGTCACAGAATTATGACCGAAAAGTGATTTAACAACAATAAAAAGGTATATTAAAGCTGCAAAAATCTTTAACAAACCTAAAATGACTGCCCTTACTTTACAAACTGGAGTCAAGATATGGTATAGAGTAGGGCTTCTTAACCTGGGGTCTGTTGACTTTTACGTAAGTATGTGTATATACGTACATATGTATCTGTATCTACATATGTATGTACACACATACACATATACATGTATATATACATATATACATATAAAATGTGTTTCAATATAATTGGTTTCCTTTGGAATCCCATGTATTTTATAGATTTAAAAAGATTATTCGGAAAAGGGGGGTCTGTAGTCTTCACTGGACTGCTAAAGGGGCCCATGACACAAAAAAAGGTTAAGAATTCCTAATATGATGCAAGATCTAAAGAAGACATCCGGCCTTTCCCTTCACTTCCAGTCTTTTCTCATGTTATTGCCCCTTCACATATCTTTCCATGCTCCAGGCAAAGCATACAAAGAAAAAAAAACCCAACAGGTGAAGAGGGAGGGAGGCCTAGGGAACAGTCTGGAAAAAGGTACAGAGCAGACTTAAAAGCAGAATTTGGGTTCAGGAGACTTGGAACTGTGTCAGGAAGACTTGAGTTCAAATGTGACTTCAGACACTTACTAGTTGTGTGACCCTGGCCAAGTCACTTAAACCTGTTTGCCTCAGTTTCTTCATCTGTAAAATGATCTGGAGAAGGAAAGAGCAAACTGCTCTAGTGTCTTTGCCAACATAACCCCGAATGGGGTCACAAAGAGTCAGACGTGACTGAAAACAACTGAATGACAATCAGCATAGTTTCGTGACTTCCTCCAGGCTGGTTCAGCAGCATGTGAGTAGAATCCAAAGAGGTGGGAACAATATAGTGATGGTTTTTGGCAAGTCATGATGGGCTATTAGACAATCACACTGTTCCTCACCGTGGTTAACTTGTCGTCTTCCTCGGCATTTGGAGACATGATCCACCTTCCCGTTTTCCCTCCTTCCTCAAGTGCCAGACAAGCCCCAGGACACTTGGGACTTTGCTTTGTCCTCCCAGCGCTGCCTGCATTTGATGTGTTCTCTCCTTGCCGTCCTTGTTCTGTCCCTGGGAAGGCCTTGGAGTCTCCAGCTGGTCCCAGAGAGTCAGCTCTGACCCTATGTCTCTTTCTAGTCTGGGAGATTCCTGAAGGGTCAGACAAGTTCTGGGTCTCCTGAGTGTTCCCTATGACGTGTGAATGAGAAGAAGAATAATAGTAATAGCTAGCCTTTATATAATGCTTTAAGTTTTACGAGTGTTTTGTGAATATGATCTCATTTTATCCTCACAACAACCTTGGGAGATAGGTCCTATCATCATCCACATTTTACAAATGAAGAAACTGAGGCTCAGGTGGCTTGTTCATGTCCTACAACCAGTAAATATTAGAGATGGAATTTGAACCCATGTCTTCTTGGTTCCATGTTTAACATTCTACCCATTATATCTTATGTTGACTCCCTATGGCTGTAGCTGAATATCTCTGCTGGTGTATGATTGTATAAGAGTGTATGGATGTGTGAGAGTTTGTGAACGTAGGTGAGTGTTTGAAAATGAGTTAGTGTGCTAGTACGTATGAGTGTATTTTTGAGATTAGGTGAGTGTCTATATGATTTTGGGTGGTCAGGCAGAGACAGAATCAGTCAGCCTCCCTAGGAATTCTAGGAATTCTACCAGAAGTGACCACAGTGTGATGAAGAGGAGTCATTAAATTTAGGACATCGTATAGATACCAGAAAAATGGGATTCAGCATTGAAAACTGTGAACTCACTGACCCTCGGTTTATTGTTAGGAAATCTCAGTTCTTGGTAGCAAAGAGAAACCGAGGAGACTGGCGCAGAAAGGTTCCAGAGTACCCAGCTGATTGTTAGAGCTGGGAAGGCCCTCAGAGATTATGAAGTTTAATCCCTATCAGAGCTACAACTAAGGTGGAGCGACTGAGCCTTTGCTCCAGGTAGTCAAAATTTAGAGAGCTCTGGATCTACTAGAACCAATTGAACTTAATATCCAGCTAGATAGTAAATTTTAATAGAAAAAATTAGTTAAAAGAGAGACTTTCATATCATAGCTTCCTCCCCCAGCAACTGTACCACAGTGTAACTTTTCTCTGGCCCAGGACTGTCCTGCTCTCTATCCCAGTGGTGGCCCCTCCATCAGTGGTTTCATGGTAACCCAAGGTCTCTCCTGTTCCCCAACCCCCCATCAGTTCCCTCTGTCTTTCCTCCAAAGACCTTGTATTCTAAGGACCAACGTCACACCCTGAGATCTCCCCTATTCCAACTGAATTTGACTTTAAAAGTTGATTTTGAGGATGTCTTTCATCCTTCTCCCTGGTACATGTGGCATTGTTTCTCCTGGTTATCAGAGTTGCTGGTTCCAGCTCTGATTCCCACTATTTTAAAGGAGAGACAAGGAGGGGGAACATTGGTGATGGGGAACGATGACTGAACGGGGCAGGCCGGAGAAGGCAGAGAGCTGAGATCACTGTAGCCTGGATATTGCAAGTTTCTTCCATCTGTGATGTCGGGGACCGACTCAAGTGTGCCGGACTGACATCAACCAGGCTCTCTAGAGCCAACTGTTAAATTTTCATTGTGAACATTTATACCTCGGAAACTGACAAATACTGAAAATCAGGGCTTGATTTATTGTTTTGTTGATTGTCTAGACTTAAGAAAATGATGGTGAAAATGTTATCAATGCAGCTTAAACATAAAGTGTATCCTGTGTTCTTTTTGGGGTGAGGTGGGGAAGGAAGAGTTGGTTAAGCATTTGAGAACACCCCCCCCCATTATAGACCATACAAGTGGGAGCCAGGAGTCCTGAATCGTCGAGCACCGGCCAGGCTGCTCCTCGGGGCAAAAACATTTTTTCAGGTGGATGGAAGACCAGCGCAGTCATTTTAGTTTCTCTTTTCTTATGGATCGGGAACTGCAGAGCTTTTGGCCCCAGCAAGGCCACCCCCAGGGAGAATGGGGTTTGGTAAACTGGGAAGGCCAGGCTAAGGTTCAGATCAGCCCTTTCAGATTGGGCAGGGGCAGCATCAGCTGCCTTGGCTGGGATCTGCTTCCATGTGATGGAAGGAAGGGTCTGGGCTCCTTGAGGGGTCAACCATTGCCAACTCCCTCCCCACCCGAGGATCTGAGGTAGGACCAGAGTTCTAGGGGCACGCTGCAGCCCCCCCTCATCTCCTGCCCTCCTTGGCCCTGGCTCTCTCCCTCCCTTTCCCCTTATAGGCATTCTGGGGAAAAGACACCCTCCAAGTCTGGCCTGGTTCTGAGCCAGGGTCCTTTAAGGTGCCCTTTACAGACTAGCCGCTTGTGTGGCCAAAAAGAGGAAGATGTCCCCAAGACATGGTATGGGGAGAGCAATAAGCCCAGAGCCCCCTAAGCACTGTGAACAGGCTGAGTATGTGTATGGAGAGTAGGGGGAAGGGATAGGGGAGTGACTGCTTTTCCTTCCCCAGCAGAGGAACCCTGGTCCAGTCCCAGCCCAGTCCGTCCTCCTGGAGCCTCCCTGGGGGGCTGGGCTTTAGGAGTCCCTGAAACAGGAGAAAGGGGTTTGGAAGAATTAGAAGCTTTCTGTCCCAGCTCCCTGCCAGGGCAGGACAGGCAGGCAGGCAGGCAGGCAGCAAGACTGGGAGTGCGGAGGGAGGCCCTGCAGGGAGCAGCTTACAGCCAGCAGAGTCAGATGTAACATTGACCTTAAATGGTAAAAGCTCCCCAGAGTGGAAGAGAGGCTGGCCAGAGGGGGAAAGGGGCTAACTCAGTGTTAGGTAAGTAAGCCGGGAACCCAGAATAACCTGCCTCCTCCTGCCTCCTCCTGTCTCCTCGTGCCTCACACACATGAGGGAACCAAGTCTGACTCCTTAAAGGTACAGTGCATCATTATTGTCTTGCTTCATCGACTAGGGTGACTTTTCTTTGTCTTGAGTTTTGACTGGAGTGTGTGGCGTTTTTTTTTTCCCTTTAAAAAAGGGGGAGTGGGATGAATCTTGCCAGACAGTGTTAATCAGCTCTGTTCTTCTTGTAATGAGGGAGGAAGCCCCAGGGTGAGGAAGATAAAGACCAGGTCCTGGCATCCTGCCCTGGGGAGCAGGGGAGGAAGGGGGGGCTAAATGAAGGTAGGTGAATTGGGGGAGATGTCAGCCTGAGCTAGGTAGGGCTTGGTTCCCAAAGCAAGGCCCATTTGGAGGAGGCTGGTACTGTGCCCTCAGAGCTCGCAGTTGGGTGAAGGCTCACTATGGCCAAGGGCAAGGGACGAGGGTGAGGGTTCCCTTCCTGCTTGTCCTCAGCAGGGCAGCCTCAGCGGGTGACTGTCTGAGTCCCTGCTGTGCTCCAGAGCATTCATTCATTCTCAGAGTCACTTCCTAAAACCAAGATGCATCAGGGACAGCCAAGCCTCGATAGCAGCTACATTTACTTGTTATCTTCCCAGGAGAGCTGAGAGCCAGTGTGCACCTCAGCTATTTGCTCTGCTTTAAAGTTGAGACAAACACCTACAGCTCCAGCTTCCACACTGAAGACAGAGCTGCAAGCCATTCCTCTTGTAGCAGCAGCAGCCTCCCCTTTTCTTAAGACACCCTGGCAACATCCCTGAATTTACCAAACGAGTTTCTTGAGTCTGAACTCCTCCCCAGGTGTCTGGCCAGATTCTCCCTGGAGAAAAATAAGGAAAGGTGTTGTCAGATTGTTAGAAAGCCTCAAGGGGCAAGAGATTTACAGGTGGGCTCCTGGTTCTGGCCAGGTGCAGAAGGGAACCATCCCAGGCTTCTGCTGGTTTGTGAAGAATTGATTCTTTTCCCTTAATAAAAAATGTTTTCATACTGAGTCTTTGGATCCTTTCTGGGCCTTGGTTTCTACATCTGTACAATGTGAGAATTACACTAAGTAGACCTTAGTCTAGTGGAAAGAGTCAGGTGGCCTGGGTTTTACCCTCGGCTTCATGTGACCTTGGGCAAGTAACTTCTTTTTTCATTAGATCATAGAGATTTTCTGGGCCTCAGTTTCCCTATTTGTAAAATGGGGAGTTGTTGGTCTTGGTCCTATGATTAGATAAATGGTTCCTTCCAACTCTCAGATTGTATGAGTCTATAAAATCATGGTAGGATTGATGTGTAGCAAAGAAAAGATGCGTTGGGGGAGGGCTCTGGCTAGCGTAAATAGTTGTTGTATTTGTGTTTGAAGGTTAAGAGGTAGGATATCTATCTTGATAAAATAAGTTTCAGTATATCTTCTCTCCTAAGAGTACTCCTAGGGGAAGGATGGACGTTTGCTCATTGCTGTAAGGGAGGAATTCTTAACCTTTTTGCGTGTCATGGACCCCTCTGGTAGTCTGGTGAAGACTGTGGAACCCTTCTCAGAATAATGTTTTTTAAATGCCTCAAATAAAATATGTAGCATTACAAAGGAAACCAATTATATTGAAATACAGTTATTATAATGTGTTTTTTAAAAAAAGTTCACAGACCCTAGAACCCTTGTCATAAAGGAAAGTGAATCTCCTAAACATTTTTTCTGGAATATGAACTCTTAGGTCAGTAAGTAACCTAGCCAGTATGATTCCTTTTAGGTTTAGTATATTAATTCTTGGAGAAACATAGATGGTTACACCCTTTGTGATAGCTGACATTTAACAACATCATCTCATTTGACCCTCAGTGGTGAATTTATTGCTACAGGCATTATCATCCCCATGTTATAAATGAAGAAACCGAGGCTGTGTGAGGTTAAATGATTTGCCCGTGGCCACACAATTAGAAACTGTCAGGGTCAGGATTCAAATCTAAGCTGTCCTGCTTCCTGGTATAGTGCTCTAACCACTAGGCAACAAATGAAAGAGTGGAACCGATAGCTAAAAACTGAGGAGAACATGACATAGGAAATGATTATTCTCACCTATTGAATTCAATAAGGTATAATAGGAAACGTCTGTTCCTGGTCTTTTGACTTCTGAGACTTAGATGATGAACAAGAGAAGGGACAGAAGATGACCCAGTTCTTGGTGACTCAGTAGCAATGATACTGAGAAACCTTATCAACCAATCTGCCAATATTTACTAAGTGAGTACTTACTACTGATGATGCTAGGAATGCAAAGACAAAAGGGTATTGAAATCGTCTCTGCCCTCCAGGACCTTACATTTTAACCAGAGAGACAGCATAAGCACAAATAGGTAGATACAAATTGAAAGCAAGGTAGGTTTTGGAGGGCAGTACATTGGCTGCTGAGGGGTTGGGGAACAGCTTCTGTTTCAGCAAAGACATAATGTGAAATGTGAGGATAGAGAAATAGGAGGCACAGGTGTCTGCTTACAGAGGTGGACTTGGGGGAGAGTTTAAAATGAAGAGGATTGGAACACCCACTGCTGAAATTAGATGTCTCCAGAGGTTTTCATATTGTTGCGTTTCCGTCTTCTCATATACATGTTACCCCTTTGTGCAGGAAACATAGGCTCCTGAGAGCTTTTAGATTAAGCACTAGAAGGGACCTTAAAAGTTATTGAGTCCAATTCCAAGGAGACTGACACCCAGAGAGATAAAGTACTTTGTCCAAGGGTACACAGGAAGTAAGTAGTCAGGTAGTAGGAAGTGGGATTTGAACCCAGGTCCTCTGATTTCAAAGTCAAGGCTCTTTCCAATAAACCAGTAGAACCTGGGAAGGAGTAATGTCTGGCCAGCTCTCCTTCAACCTCTGAAACAGACTTTTGGTTCATCTCATTTACCAGGTTAAACAAGGCACTGGTTTGCAACAGATTCTGGCACTGAGGCTTAGGACACAAGTACCACACCCTGTCTGCAGAGGACAGATTGAATCAATAAGCATTTATTGACTTTTTTTGCACTTTTTGGTGAGGCAGTCAGGGTTAAGTGACTTGCCCAGGGTCATACAGCTAGTAATTGTCAAGTGTCTGAGGCCACATCTGAACTCAGGTCCTTCTGACTCCAAGGAGCTCTATCTACTACGCCACCTAGCTGCCCACCCCCTCCATAAGCATTTATTAAGTGTCTGCTATGTACTAGACAAGCAATCTTTCTCCCTCTCCCCTTCCTAATTCTTTGAGGTGTCTCTGGCAAGGCCAGAGGTCTATGTGGTACCATTGGAACATCCCTGCAGCCACATTCCCTGCTGACTGATTATGGAAGATGCTTTTCTAAGGGCTAAGAGCCATTCAGTTCACATAAGAGGAAAAAAAACCAGCTGTGTTCTCCTTCATGGTGTGGAGCAGTGTGGGGAAGAACTGAGCCCACTATATTGCATTCCTTTGGATAGCGATATAGTGAGTTTGTGGGGCCTCTATATGTAGTGTTACGAAGCACCCAGTGTAGACTCCCAGGAATAGGAGAAATCAGTAGCACTGTCATTCTCTCCATGACAACACCCTGGCTTATGTGCACAGAATATTTGCCTTAGGTGGAGTCCAAAGAGACCTCCGAGGATAGGCAGCCACCCCGTCCACTTGGCTTTTGGAGCTGAGACACTGGGTATGTGTCCTTTCCTTTCACCTTTGCCTGTGACTTAGGGCTACCCTGCTTTGAGAACAAAGGCACGCCTCAAGGGAGAAGGGAAGTGAGTCTGTCCACCAGAGCATCTGGCCATGATTCAGTGACTGAATGCTTTGTGCAGGTTGTATCCTTAGAGCAGAATTCACACCTTCTGGGAATCCTAGAGTGTGTAGCAGAGCTAAATCATCCCTGGAAAAGGGAAAAGAAATGAATAAAACCAGAAGATGAGTAATCAGGCATAATACTGGGTGATAGCCCAGAATTCAATTTCATTCAGTAAGCAATTATTAACTGCCTACCAGGTGCCAGTCAATATGCTAAGTACAGGAGAAACAAAGACAAAATATTAGTAGAGAACTGAGAATATACTAAATGTTAAATGCTATTAGAAAACTAATAATGTAAGATGGGATAATGATATAAGGTAGGAGACAAGTACCGGGTGACTTGAATGGCCAGAAGATATCCCGGGGGTCAAGGGCTAGCTTCCCTGTGAGGCCTATTCTGATCTCACTACGTCCTAGCGTCTTCCTCCCCCAAATTCCCTGGCATTTATTTAGTTTGTGCATATGTGTGCACATATATACATATGGGTATACATAAAATGTGTATTGTTGTTCAGTTGTTTCAGTCATGTCCAACTCTTCGTGACCCCATTTGGGATTTTCTTGGCAAAGATACTGGAGTGGTTTGCCATTTCCTTCTCCAGCTTATTTTACAGGTGTGGAAACTGAGGTAAATGGGGTTAAGTGACTGGCCCAGGGTCACATAGCTACTAAGTGTCTGAGGCTGGATTTGAATTGAAGTCTTCCTGATTGCAGGCCCTGCACCCTATCTACTATACCATCTAGTGTGTGTATATATGCTATCTCCTGAGATACAATGTCAAATCCTTGGGAACAGTGACTGTTTCAATTTTGTCCTCATATTTCCAGCACTTAGCATAGTAATACCTGGCAGTCACATACTAAATGCTTGCTGATTGATTGAAAACCTACTATGTGAGGTCTGGTCCTGAGGGAAATACCAGGAGAGTTTAGACATCAATATCAGGGAGGGAAGACATACACACCTGAAAAGAAAACTGATAATATAAGATGAGATAAAGATATAGGGCACCAAGCCTGGAGTCAGGAAGACCGGAGTTCATGTTCAGCCTCAGACAGTTGCTGGCTGTGTGACTTCGGGCAAGTCACTTAACCTCTGCTAAGGAAACCCCACGAAGAGTCAGACACCACAGAGCAGCAATGAGCGAAATAAGGTACAAGTTAAGTGCTGGGTGAGTTGTTTGCATATTTAAGTATCTATTACTTAAATATTTAGCTATTCAGAGGCTTCCTTGACAGTGATACAAAGGGGCATTTTTTGA